AGGATTAGATTTTTTTCTCTGTCCACAGTTCAGCGGGGGAGACCTAACTGCGGCTCAAGTGAGGTTAAACCTAGGACAAGGCAGGGTTATGGATATAATAGTAGGGTCGGCTTACATGCCCTACGACTCAACAGAGCCACCCCCACCGGATGAAGCAAAGGGGCTGTGCAACCATGTGAAAAGGAGGGGATTTCAACTCCTGTTGGGCTGTGATGCAAACTCCCATCATGCTGCATGGGGGAGCACCGGTTGCAACAGCAGAGGAGAGAGCCTCCAAGAGTCCATCATGGGGGCAGGGCTCCATATTTTAAACAGGGGGACAGAACAAACTTTCATGGACCGTAGGCGACAGGAAGTACTAGACATAACTCTGGCAACGGATTATGTGGCTGGCTTGGTTGGAGACTGGAGCGTCTCAAAGGACCTCTCGGCCACGGATCATAGAACCGTAAGAATGTCCGTTCTTTTTGAGGAAGCGACTGAGTGGAGCAGAAACCTATGGCGGACCGACTGGGGAAATTATCGGAAGAGTCTAGAACTTAGGCTGAAGATGATGGAAGAGGCCTCCAAGGTCTTGCACCGGGTGATAATTGACTTATATGAGGAAAACTGTAAGTTGTTGCCCAGAAGGCGGAAGACTGAGATACCCTGGTGGTCGGAAGACGAACTTGGGGGACTCAGGAATGAAACCAGAAAGGCTTTCAACAAGGTAAAGAATGCGAGGGAAGGTCCCCGTAAAAAAACAGCCTGGACAACTTACAGGGGACTTCTCGCAAAGTACAAAAAGGCAATAAAAAAAAAGCCGCCAAAGACAGGTGCTGGAGGGCTTTCACGAGCACCATTTAGAGCCAATCAGAGACTGGCAGGCTGACGAAAATCTTTGGTACAAATAAGACCACATATCTAGGGAGCCTAAAAGCACCGGATGGGAGCAATACGGAGACAATGGAGGAGACATTCAAACTCCTAATGGAAACACACTTTCCGGGATTCACCGAATCCCGGGGAGGAGATACAGAATCAAGGCGAAGTCGAAGGGGCGAACACGAAACTCACGACTGGCCCTTGGCTGTAAAGACCTTTGAGCCTTACAAAGCGTCGGGGCCAGATGGGATTTTCCCGGCCCTGCTGCAGAAGGGGATGGAGAACATCATAGGACCTCTCACCAAAATCCTCAGGGTCAGTATAGCACTGAGACATGTTCCAAGGTCATGGAACGAGACTAAGATAGTCTTCATTCCAAAGCCGGGCAATGTTGGGTATATTAAACCATAGGACTTCCGCCCAATAAGTCTTACATCCTTCATATTGAAAACGCTGGAAAGACTTGTGGACCGATTCATAAAAATGGGGCCCATCAACGGATACTGCCCTACACCATCTGGTGGGACTCGTGAAGGGACAATTCGCTGCCAAGGGATATGTCATAGCAGCCTTCTTGGATGTTGAGGGAGCTTTTGACAGCATCTCGAACAAAACCATAGAAGAAGTTATGAAGAAGCATGAGATCCCTAGGACGATCATTGCTTGGATACAGACCATGTTAAGGGGCAGAAGACTGTCGGCTAATCATGGACAAAGCTATATAGAAGGGAGCCAGAGGATGTCCTCAGGGGGAAGTTCTCTCACCTCTGCTGTGGAATCTGGTGACGGCACTTGACATCGTTGAGAGCTGGTGCCGGGAAACTGACTTCTCGGTGAATCCCGCCAAGACCACAGTCCTAGTCTTCACAAAAAAATACAAGCCAGAGACGATCAGACCCTTAATACTCGGTAGTAAACTACACCAACAAAGTAAAGTATCTGGGAGTAATTCTAAATAATAAACTCAGTTGGAAGAATCACATATATATACAGAGAAACAAAGTGTTTGCCTCCATGTAGACATGCAGAAGGGCCATTGGGAAAAACTGGGGGCTAAACCCCAGAATGACACTATGCCTCTATCAGATGGTATTGTTACCAAGGCTAATGTATGCTGCGGTAGTCTGGTGGCCAAGGGCAGGAAGGGTGGAAACAAGGAACCTGTTGCAGGGCCTACAGGGAACTTTCCTGAGGGTCGCGACGGGGGCCATGAAGACCACACCTAATGAGGCGCTAGAGATAGCACTCAGTATCCTGCCTTTGGACCTCAGAGTGATTAGCGGTGCAAGCACAACAGCCTACAGACTACGGTGTCAGCAGGAATGGAAATCGACAGGCCAAGCTCATACCCAACTTTGCTTGATTAATGCAAATCCCTTCACGGACAAGTCTGACCGGATTCAGAGAAAATATCAAATTAATAAAGCCTTCAAAACTAGAATACTATCCAGAGAGGAGTGGCTAGATTCAAAACTTAAACCAGGACCCTTGGGCCCTGGATTACTGGAGGATTACTGGTTTACCGATGGATCTGGCTACAATGCACGCTTTGGGGCGGGGATCTATCGATTGAAGGATGGGTTCGGGGAAAGCTCCCCCCTGGGCCAGCATACAACAGTCTTTCAAGCCGAGGTGTTAGGTATAACCAAGTGTGCCGAGCACCTGGTAGCAAAAGAGATGGAAGGGATGAAAATTTACATCTGCAGCGACCGCCAGGCGGCCATAAAAGCACTGGAGAAAGCCACTACTGATTCTAAAGTGGTGTGGGAATGTATGCAAGCACTTGCCACTTTAGGGGAGAGGAATAAAGTCACCCTAATCTGGGCTCCGGACCACCACGGAATACAGGGTAACGAAGAGGCGGACTGGCAGGCCAGAAGAGGAACGAAAGATGTTCCTCCGAAGGGTCTGATTGGTGTGGCTTTCGCAGTGGGAAAAAAACTCATAAAAGATCACCTACAGCGAGAATTCGAAAAACGCTGACGAACTAGCACAACCTGTAGACAGGCTAAACTGTTTATGGGGGAGCAGTCAAATCGAAGGGCTAGAGAACTTCTGGCGCTGGACAGGAAAAATCTGAGGGTCGCGATAGGACTTCTCACAGGCCACACTACCCTCAGGGCTCACGTGTACAACATGAAGCTAGCTGAACAGGCAGGCTGTAGACTATATACGGGAACGGTAGAGAGGACGCCGCACATATTCAGTGCGAATGCCTCCTACTGGCTATACGTAGATATAGGAGCTGGGGCCAGGCTTTCATGGAACCAGCTGACCTAAATGAAGTGGCGGTGACCAGCCTCATTAGCCTAGTGAAAGACACAGGGCTGGAGCTGGTGGACTGTCCAGCATAAGGCGGCAGTTACAAAAAATCGTATGATTTAGGTGACTCGGGGCAAGAAATTGACTGGCCACATTACTCTAAATTCTAAAAAAATTCTGTTAGACGTCATGCAGAACCGCGTGAAATTAGTAAATTGAACCAGTCTTAGGTACACAAAGCTCCATCGATTATGATGGAGAGAAATCGATCCCATCGTTACTTTGAGAGAAATCGCCAAATTTGTAAAAAAATGTCATTTTTCGACGTTGATTTACTAATTCTACTGCAATATCTAAAGAACCGCTGAGGCGATGTTCTTCAGAATCTAATCAGTTCTAAGTTCCATGAAGATGGATTGATTACAAAAAAAAATTGAATCGCATCGTTTGTTCGAGAGAGATCGTTGGGCAAAATTTTGTTGGGGTGCTTACAGCCGTCCGGGCACAACTGTCCGTAGGACTCTTGTGTACACGTAGCGCCACAGTGCACAGCACAAGTGACCAGAAAAACAGTAGTGCAGAGGACTATTTGTCCACGGGCCCAAATCTTCACAATATGACTTGTCGGTCAGACAGTGTCAGTCTTATAGAAATTATATGAATTTGGTACCCATAGAGCATAATTATTGATACCAATTGCCTCTGAGGGATGGCGCTATGGGGCCTCAAATATTTCTGAAATGGAATATGCAGGGGCGTACTACCTGAATAGACCATCAAAATCCGCACGCACATGGTTAATTAATGAAATTTGTCTCCATTAATCAATCAATACTGAACTATAATTGATTAATCTGAAGTTGTCAAGATCCGAGGAGACCAATGATGAATCAAAAACATTATTGAAATGAAAAGGATTATCATTATTATTATTAATGAAAAAAAAATATTATTGGTTTTCAAATCACTGGTATCTAAAATAATGGTATTAATACTAAATCATCGATCAGGAAGATAACGTAATTTAATTTAATTTATAATTGATCAGTTGCACACAGAATCATTCTTATAATAATTGACCGTTTTGCCCCGAATACACGACACACCACGCGTGAAACAATTTAATAGAAAAATCTAGCGCTGCATGTAAAAAACTCTAGTGGATTTCTATAATTTCTATAACTCTATAAGAATACTGTTAGGATCCAATTAGAAATTGATGGAAATCCTAATGAATTTTTTTTTTCTTTCCGTCAATCCTATTAGAAATTATGTGACGTCGCCGTGGGATTTTTCACAAGATATTTGACAGAAAAAAGACAATCGATTTTGATTTTTCTGTATGAATCATTGTCTCGAGAATTTCAATAGAATTCTAATAGAACTCCCATGAATAGTACATTATGTTACTAGTGCACAAAATTGCACCTTTTCGCACCCTCGTGTAACACATATTATTTTTCGTAACACCTGCCGAGTTCAGTTTTCGGGGGTGCAGTGTGGGTGAACTCTTTGTTTTTTTGCACGGAGTGCGTAAAGTTTAAGGTTGTGGGTAAAGTGAATGTCGAGTGCGTAAAGCGAAGCTAAACCGCCCCGAAAAGTGAACTTTTCAGGCAGGTGTTACAAACATACTGATAATTGAGGTGTTAGATGTACGAAAAAAATTGATAGAACAAACTAGCATTTCTACCGGAAATTCTATTATTTGCTTGCGGATTCTACAAAATAAATCCGTAACTCTTTCGAGTTTTTTGTTTTTTTTGTATATTTTTTTAAATAGAAAGCATTTTTATAAAAAAATATAAAATTCCTTGAAGAATAATTGAGTAGATTTAGTGGATATGCTAATAATGATTATATCATTTTTTTTTCCATCGGGAATAAATGAGTCAGTTCACTTTGATACATTGTTATTTTATTTTACATTATTATTCATATTCTTGGGTCGGTATTTTCACTCGAAAAACGGTCGCTCCATAAGTATTTGTTTTCGGTATCTTCGTACTTGTCGGATGTCATCACAAACACGACGCACAGGGGTAACATCATCTGTCTCACTGATAATTTTGTCAGGAATCCCGCAGCCTACAATAACAATTGTGTCAATTTATTCATTACATAATTAACCATTACATTATTAATATAGGGTGTATTACATATTTAATATAGGGTGATTGAGAACAAACCTTCCTGCTGAGTTTTTTTCGATGATTTTTTATTGCTAATTTCATTCCCCTCTGAGTCTCCAATGATGCCACTATCATTTTCATTCCTGTCGGGAAGAGAAAGTGGATGTCGGATTTCAATTTCCCCATTCATACTCTGAGGGGTGGTTTTCATCGAATTATCATCATTTGTGAGCTCTTCTGCCGTGAAGAAGTCCATAATCCTACTATCATCCAGATCGTTATCTAAAATGAAGAATTGAGGTAAATACATGTTCTCCATTCAGTAAAATGTTGACATGTGACATACCGCTGTTTCCTGTCTCGTCAGCAATGTTCGTTCGAGCTTTTGTAGTGTTATCAGGTTTGAAATATTTGGATTGATGATCATCTGATTTATTCTCTGCTAAAAATGATTGATTAACATTTACATGATATGAAGGCGTGCTTATGATTGTTTCCGTTTTCAATATTCGAAGTTGTAATTTACCTTCAACGCGTCGCTGTTGTAGTCCTGAGAATTGGAGATTTTTGGGGCCACCTCGAATTTGTAAATCACTGGTTGAGAAAAGCTGCCGGTGATTGTCAGCTGCAATAGCGATATATATATATAAAAACGGATGTAAAGTTATCAAACTTTGACTTATTATTTATGAAATCGAATTCTTACTTTTTATTTGTATCGTAGAGTAAATGCCGAAAGTAAATGGTATACTGAAAGTATATTCAAAAAACTCTGCGAAGGTCTTTCTATAATGCTAAATAAGTATTCAATCACGTGTGATTTATAATGATCATGTGATTCACTGTAACCACGACGTTATAAATACCTGCCACTGGAGACCTCCTGATAGGTTCGTATGATTCTCTTTTCATCCGTTGGGGTTATGATGCTTTTTACTCGATCTACCTTGTTAGCTTCCCGCTGGTTATTTTTCCCCATTACTACTACTTCATTTTGTAATACTTTGTCAATCTCATCTGGAATTGCCAAAATTAATTGTTCAAATTTCATCAGACCCGAAGGAAGGAAAAAAAAGGCTCCCCCTGCAATTGCTTACCAATAAATGGCAAGATTTTCTTACAGCCGTGTAATCTTCCCGCAACATAGCGACCAAGTGCTTCTGTTCTGCTCAATTGAAATGCATTTAAGGCTGGAACAAGATATGCGATTCTATGCTGCCAGTCCCTTCTAAAAGATTCAAAGAAGTAGGATGATTCGCGATACTCCAGTACATTGTCATCAATATCCTTTTTGATTATCTGCAGTCCTTTTTCAATGTCTGTTGGTTTGCACAGACCAAGGAGCCAACAAGAAAAAAGTAGTTTCAAAGGTGATTTTTCTTCTTTGAAGACTTTGTCCCATAGTTTCGTCACAGTCTATAAATCGGGAAAGAAGCGTTTGTTTTTAGGACATAAGAATTATGAAGGGTAAAAAGTCAAGTTTTTGTCTCTACCTGGACGAAATCCAGCCAACATATCTGGATTTTGGCCTAGGGGAAGAAAGAGCGGGTAGCCTTTACTGCATCACTACCTGCAGTTATTACTACTGATTGAACATTTCGTCATCCCTGGTGCCATCCCAACGATATAGTCCAAAATACCTTCAGACAGCTCTACCGAGCACTCCCGAGCATATGCGAAAACCAATGCGAACGTCTGGAAAGCTGAAAATTGATTACTCTCTTTGATTAGACCAATGCTAGACTATGCATTTCAGGTACTTATTGAAGTTGAGTCATTTCCAGATCTTTGGAAATGGATCATTCACATTTGATCGTTGATATCATTCGACAGAACCTAATGAAATAAGTGAAAGAAATTGAACATATATCAAAATAATAACCTTAATTTATCCTGTAGACATTACCAATTTTCACGTACATTGGTTACTTGATTAATAACAATTGTAGCCGTTCCTCCTCTTTAAAAAAATCCATGAAACGTTTTTTGTCCCCAATCTATTCCGCCATGCTTGACTTAGGCATATTTCATTCTTATAACCAACCAAGTATTATTGAAAATGTATTCAATAATACTCGGATAATTGGAGAGTTTTCCAGATGATTTCTGACTTTTTTAGGAGATTTTGGACTGGTCGAACAAGTTCTCTTTTTGATGAGCCTTGATTGCATTCAAGGCTCATTGATTCTGTTTTTTTTTCTAATTTTCCAATATAAAAAAAAATTGAATGTGGCCGTTTTGCCCCACCACCCCCTACTATTGAATTAATGAAATAAGAAAATGAAAAGAATTAAGAAAATTTATTATTATCGACAGGTTATACATATTAATGGCGCTAAAGCAACTATAACTAATGAGGGGTATAATTGTGAAACTATCCCGTTGCAATTGGATATCAATTCGAATACAGAAGTCAATAAACTGGGAACGCATACAATAGAAGTGAAAGATCTCAGAACAATGCCCTTATCAGAAATCATGGAATTCAAACGCACCTGTCGTAAGTTGATTTCATTGCACCTGTCATGAGTAGAATGAATAATAAAATGATAAATTATTAATTGTCTAAATTATTTTCAGGGATTATTGGTTACATAAAAACTAATTTTGCAGTCGTAGTTCATCAACGAAATTCCGCGAATAACACTTGTTATGGATGTATTGCTGATAACAGGCTCAAATTGCCCATTCGTATAAAGAATTTCGCTACAAATTTCTCGAGTCCTTTTAACATCGGTGATCATGAAATTATAGGGAAATTACAAACAATAGGTAATGTTTATTTTTTACTGAAAATTTTAAATGATTATTTTTAACATTGTTTTGATGTGCCCAGTCATCTAATATCCTTTGATCATTAGTTTTGTGGTATTTTTTTGTTACTCTTTCTCACATTTATTTTTTCTGATTTTTTAGAATCTTTTTGGAACTTTTTTTAGAATTTATTCAATGGATAATTTATTCTTGAGATGATAAATTAAGAAATTATGTTAAATATTATGTCTATATATATATATGAACGAATTCTCTTTTATAAAAGTCATTTAACATTATCGATAAGAACTTGTGAAGTGAACTATTGTAATCATTAATAATATTTCTATTTTAGCAATGTCTCCGTATTTTGATGTGACGAAAATTGAAGATATTAGGGAAATTGATGAACAGATAATGTCACGAAAGGAATTACGAAATGCTAATAATGATGTGAACATATCATCAACCTTACCAAGGGATGTATTAGCAGAAAGTAGTAGGAAAAGACAGAAAATGAGTCATCCTACCGAATCGTCTCCAGAATCTAAGAAAAAATAGATATTTCAATGCTAAATTTCTTTGGAATATAATGAAGAAAAATTTCATGTGATTATAATCATCAAAATGAAAAATTGTAACATTCTGTGTTCTAAATATCAAAAAAATATTCTGTTCGTATCATTGTTATGATCATCTGTCTAGCTTAAATTGATAAGTTAAGGGGGGTGCTGAATTTAGGAAAAATGAGCTCTAATTGAATTGATTTCCAATAAATAGAGGGAGAGCATTAGAATCTTTTCAAGTAATGCTTATATTGGAAATTTGTTGAGATTAGTTTGTCAATTTCCTTCGTTATTTAGTGATTATCTTTTCAATTAGTTATTTTTTTAAGATAAAAAAAAAATATCAAAAGACAATGTCATAATTCTGTCAATTAATTTTTTAAAAAATGTCTCTTTTTAGAGGTTCTAGAATTTCTACTATTTCTATGCTCGTGTCTAATCCCTAATAAACTAATTAATGCCGAGAATATTTAATGGATTATTATGTCTGTCGAACAGAAAATTTCAATCATCTGAAATTTGGTTCTATGAACATTCTCTTGTTTTAGATGTCTATTTAACTATTTGACGTTTTATATTAAAATATGATAAATCGTATAATATTCTATTAATGAAATAAATAATTAGAAGAAAGTTGGCTGGTTTCTAAATCTCTGAGTGATTATTTTGAAAATCAAATAGTTAATAAATAATAGGCAACGTATCAAAAACTGGCAAGTCAAGAAAATTATTATTATCTTTCCCTTTTTTGTGGGGAGGGAGGGAATGATCACCATATGCTTACACCTGCAAGTTTGTAATAAATTGTAAAAGATAGAGGAGGATAGATAAATTGTGTTGGAAAATATCCCATAGAAGGGGATTCTGTGATCCAGTGTTCTATGGGCAGAAAAAAATGTTTCCTCTAATTTTGGAGGGAAAGTGATCGCCATATGCTTAACCTTAGATAGTTGGTATAAATTTCAGATTTTAGAGGAGGGTGAAGAAAGACTATTGTCATAAGCTTGCACTTAGAAGTTTGGAATGAATTTCAAAAAGTAGAGTGAGGTGGAAAATAACCCCATAAAAGGGGATTTTGCGATTCGGTGACTTTTTAATGTGGAACTGAAAAAAAAAGTTTTCAACAAATTTAGAGGGGGGAGGGAGGGGGTGGTCGCTATGTGCTTTACCTTTACCGGAATGATACCAAATTAACGTCCTTTAAACCCTAGAGGTCAATTTAAGGGAGAAAAAGACGAAAAATGAATTTGAAATCCTCCCAATAGTCTATTTCGATTGCAAATCATCTCAGAAATCTAATGAGACCACTTAGAAGTTGTTAGGTCCAATACTGAAAATGAATAAAAAAGATTATTTCAACGATTTAAGTTTTTTTCATTATAATCATTGAATAATACAACCATAATAATAGAACCATAATGATTTTTATTCCAAATAGAGCATACTATTGCGAGTCATTCGATTAAGAAAGAGAAAAGAGTAATAATGGGTCGCCGAAAAGTCGAACGAACTCCTAGAGAAGAAGAAAAAATTCAAGAAGAACGAAAGAAGAGAAATAAATTGAATAAACAATGCCTACGTCAGCTGAAAAAAAGAAATAAAATATAAGCAAAATCGCGTTTCAAACGAGTACAAAAATATCGAATGAAAAACAGAAAGCTGCATGTAAATGATAATGAAAACAACAGTGAAAATTATTTAGGACCAATGAATATAAGATGCTCTTTCTGTAATGCAAGACATTTTCAAGATGAAATTCTTACCAGTGGAAAAACAACTTTCAATGATTGTTGTAGCCATGAAGCAGTTATGCCACCATCATTTGATAACTTTCCAAGTACACTCCGCTGCTTATTCAATAGAAGACATGAATATTCATCAGAATTCTTCCGCAATATTCGCAGTTATAATTGTGCATTATCATTTGCTTCATTTAATGCAAATTTAACAAATTTCAAAGGAAGACGCCCTGGACCTTACTGTTTCAAAGTAAAAGGCCATATATATTATCAGATAAATACAGCTTTCCATCCTGAACCTAATGCTAATGCAAGCTATGGACAGTTATTCATATTGGATCCCTCCCAAACGAATCAACAAAGATTGGACAATTTTTCGGGATTAAATCTCAATCTCTTAGAACTCTTAGATGGTATTATTCGAGAAGACAACCATTATGTTGGAGCCTATGTTATCATGAAGGAGGAAATTGAAAAATTAAGAGAACAATCATTCAGTAGAAATGAAGATGATATGCTTCCTGAAGTTAGTATGTCATTCATCCCACGATCGGGATTAGATACTGGGCGATATGATGCACAAAGATCAAATAAAGTTGCTGCTGTTTTTACAACTGCCGATGGAAACATCACAGAAACATATGTCACTATTCGAGATAGTTCAACGAAAGTATTAAAGAATGTCACATCAATGGATGAAAATGTAGAACCTTGGATATATCCACTCTTCCATCCAAGGGGGAATAGAGGTTGGAATAGGAATTTAACACGCATTGGAAATTCTAGAAGACTTTCACGGTCAGCTTATATCAAAAACTTGATAGCTATCCGTGACGACTTCAATCCATATTTATGTGGTGGGAGGTTATTCCAACAATGGATAGTGGATAGTTATGTCAAAGTTGAAAGGGATCGTATTGAATATTGCAGAAGCAATCAAGACAAATTACGTGCAAATAGTTATCAAGGTGTTATTGATGCTATGAAAATTGAAGCCGAAGCCGTTAATGGAACAACTGGAACAATGATAATATTACCATCTACCTTCATTGGATCTCCACGTAACATGGCGCAGAATTATCAGGATGCAATGGCAATTGTGAGAAAATATGGGAAGCCAGATCTATTCATAACCATGACCTGCAATCCTAATTGGCGAGAAATTCGTGAAAACGTAGATGTTGATAAACAGCCATCTGATCAACCAGTAATTATTGTTAAAGTTTTTAATGCAAAAATTAACGCTTTATTGAATATCATAACCAAAAAGCAAATTTTCGGAAAAACCGAAGCTTATGTTGGTGTGATTGAATTTCAAAAATGAGGACTGCCACATTTACATTTATTAGTTACATTGACAAGAAATTCAAAAATAACCAGTCCAGAAACCGTAGACAAAATTATTTCTACAGAAATTCCCGATCCAAAGACATATCCACAATTATTTAAAATCGTCATGCAGCACATGATACACGGCCCGTGTGGAGACTGGTGTTTCAAAAATGGGCAATGTTCAAAGAAATTCCCCAAATCATTTCAAGAAACAACCGTAATGGATGAAGATAAATATCCATTTTATAGACGACGAGATAATGGAAAGCATTATGAATGTCCACATAATTATACAGTAGACAATCATCATGTAGTTCCATATTCTCCACAAATTCTCTATAAATTCAATTGTCATTGTAATGTTGAATTGGTTGCCAGTATAAAATCAGTAAAATATCTATTCAAATATATATATATATATATATATATATATATATATATAAAGGACATGATTCTGCGAACATAATGATTGAAGGAATGGCAACACACATGCATGAAATTGTACATGATGAAATTAAGGAACGTATTGAGGCACGATATGTAGGACCTGTAGAAGCATGTTGTAGGATTCTAGGGAAAAAACTGCAAATAAAAAGTCACTCGATCGTGAGGCTACCGATTCATTTACCACATCAACAGAATCACACAGTAAATCCTGGAGCAGAAGATGTAACAGTGGATTATATATTGAAACAAAAAAACTTGCTGATAGACTATTTCGCTCTCAATGAACGTAATCAAGAAGCAAGAAAATATCTTTATAGTGATATACCAACACATTAAACATTCGTTAAAAGAAAAGTTAACAATAAAACGGTTGGACAATGGAGAAAAAGGAAATGTTGTTTCAAAATCATTGGCAGAATATATTCAATAAGCCCAACACAAATAGAGCTATATCATTTACGGCTACTGTTATTGACTCAACGAGGAGCAACATCTTTCAATGACTTACAAACAGTACATAGTGTATTATATTCATCATTCACAGATGCATGTATTATGTTAGGATTGATTGCCGATGATCATGAATGGAATCGTGCTTTGCATGAAGCCGAAATATGGATGATGCCATATCAATTACGTAGACTATTCACACGAATCTTAATACACTGCCAGCCATTACATCCTGAACAATTATGGGAAGAATTCAAAATTGTTTTATCAGAAGATTATACACGGACATTCAGTATAACACAAGCACAAGCTAGGGCATTAAATGAAATTGAAAAATTCTTGGAAGAAGAAGGAAAAAATTTGAAGGATTTCCCCACAATGCCATTCATAGATGAAAAAGACATGGAGATTTCTAATGATGGATATTTCGAAGACATTATAAAAAGAGGAGTCTCATATTATGAGCAATTAAATGAAGATCGAAAAAATATAACAGATATTATTTTGAATTGTTTAGAAGATGATAATATTAATCAAGATATGAATAAATTTTTCTATATTGATGGACCTGGTGGATCAGGAAAAACATTCATATATATCACATTATGGCATCTCATATCCGGACAAAAAAAAATGTCCTAATGATGGCTTTTACTGGTATCGCCGCTGCTTTGCTGCCACATGGAAGAACAGTCCATAAAACTTTGGGTTTGACAGTACCATTATACGTCGATTCAAACTCCATAATAAAGCCCAACACAAAAGAAGCGAATAAATTGAAAGAAATGGATATATTCATTTGGGATGAAGCTCCAATGGCACCGCGTTTTGCATTAGAACAAATGAATCGTCTTCTACAAGACATAATGGAAAACAACATATTATTTGGTGGTAAAATTGTTGTTTTAGGTGGTGATTTTCGACAACTTCTACCCGTGAATGTCGGAGGCACACGAGGAAAGACTATAAATTTGTCTATAAAATACAGTCCATTATGGAAATTCTTTTCTGTGTTCCATTTGACAAAAAATATGCGTACTTTACCAGAAGAAATAGAATTCTCAAAATTTTTACTCGATGTTGGTAATGGAACTGAAAATGATGACAATAATAAGATAAATATTCCTGATAATTACGTCGATAATACGGATGTAGATATTGCAGAAGATGTATTTCAAAATTTATTGAAACATAATAAATTTAAAGAAGCAGCACAATGTGCAATTTTAGCGCCCACTAATATTCAAGTTGACGACATTAATAAAAAAGTCGTGGAATTA